TATTTTCATCTAATTTTTAATACAAAATATTTTCTGTACAAGTTTATTTTTACTTAAAGTTTATTTATTTTCATCTAGTATTTCCTTAATCTTCTACATCTTAAAGAATTTATTTTTTTACAACTAGTACACTATTATTATTAATCTACAGTTTAGTATTTAAGATTTTAATTTATTTTTTCTCTTTTTACATTTCAATTTTTTTATTATTTTATTTTAACATGTCTTTTTTTCTATTTTTTAATACTAATACTTTTACTATGATTAACTTTCTTACTTTTTCACAGTTAGGATTTTTACTTCATTTAAAATTTACAAATATTTAATACAATTTTTAATTTTAATGAATAATTCCCTTTTTAAAAAATTTCATACATTTATATGGATATTAAATAATTTATTTTAAGGTTATATATTTATTATTATTAATTATTATGGTCATTATTGGTACAACTCAGCATTTAACTTTTTAAATATTTTTTTTTATAAATTCTTCTACATTTTCTGTTTCGTATTTAAAAATTTTCTTATAATTTTTTGTAAAAAAAATTTCTCCTTTGTTTTTTAATTTTTCTCCATTTCTTTTTGTGATAATATTAAAATTTTTCTGTTGGATTTTATTCATATGATTTTTTTCCCACTAAATTGTTTTATTTGTATTTGTTTTCATTGGCTGTCTTCTCTTAGGGCTTTTCACAGTTTATTCTGTGACCTCTGACCTCTCTTTGGGCTGAAGAACCGGTCCAGTGAGCTTTTAAGACCCAAATGTCCAGAACCGTTTTCTATGAACTCTGAAACAAACTACTTCCTGTTGGCCGATGCGTTTAAGGACCAGAGAAACCGTCATATTTTCCAGCCTCAGAACAGCAGCTTTTGTTCAGATCAAACTAGTGTTGCCATGGAGACGCGCTGGCTTAAATGACCTGAAGTGGGATTAAATAATGAGTCATCTGCAGCTGTTTCCTCTCAGGTTCATCAGGTTTCCAACGGCAACCGGCCTCAAAGCGGCGCCCGAGTCAACCAATCAGGCGGCTCCGTGATGCTCTGATGCTTTCCAGGATGAAACATCTGGAACATCAACACAGCCGATAATCTGGGCTGCTGCAGATTAACACAAACTAATCCCAGTTCAGCTCTAACTGGTTGAACTGGGATCCAGATGTGGCTACTGCCTGCACACCAGTCCAGATGTTCCTGCTGGATCCAACATCTGCCACCATAATCCCATCAGAATCCACTGAGCGCGCTCAGTACTCTCCGGCCTGGCGGTGACTCATCATCATCATCATCATCAGCAGCAGCAGCAGCATCTTCCTCTCCTCTGGAGGACAGACGCTCTGATGTTACATAACGGCCTGAAGCAGCTTTACAGCCGCTGAGGTTACACAACCAGGACCGGAACCAGAACCAGACCAGAACCGGACCGGATCAGACTGCAGAACTGGAACTGAAATGAAAAAACTCAAACCATCACAAAGATTTAGGGAGCTCTGCTCTGGAGCCCCTCGTTGCCATGGTGATTCCCTCCTTTCCCAGGGCCTAAGGTCAAACTCACAGATATTTATCTGGATCCACAGTGAGATTTGAACAGAACCTTCAGGTCCAGCTGCTAAAGAACTGTTCATCTGATGAGTTCAAGTCCATCTAATGCTAAACGCTCTGATAATGCTAAAGTCAAACGTTCTGCTAATAATACATGCTATGCTAATGCTAAGCGCTACACTAAAGCTAAGCGCCCTGCTAATGCTAAACACTGTTGGTTTAACACCAACATTTTGGGTTTAAACCTGAACCAGGTGAAAAGCTGCATTTATGTTAGGACTGATTTTAGTCGTCATAGTTACATAAGGAACCGGTTCTGGTTGTTTCCAGCAGAACCTGCCAGCACCGCAGTGTGTGTTTAAGCAGAACCTCAGCCGGGTTCTGGTTCTTTATGTTGCTTCAGAAACAGAAACCTGAGATCCAGGCTGACAGAGGAAACAAAGGCTGACGGTGAACAAACAGCAGCCGGGCCAACTGGGTCACACAGCCCGGCAGAACAAAGGTCTGCTCAGCTGCCGCGTCCTCTCTGGACCCGGTTCTGAACAGGAAGGGCCCGCTTCAGGATGGATGGACCAGCAAACAACAATGAAGGTTCCTGTGAGGTTCTGGAGGAAGCAGCAGCTGCAGCCGGGCTTCAGCCTGGACCGGGCCTGCAGAACCAACCGGACCTGCAGAACCAACCGGACCTGCAAAACCAACTGGACCTGCAGAACCAAACGGTTTGCAGAACCAAACGGACCTACAGAACCAACTGGGCCTCAGCTCAAATTAAACTGGTCATTATCTTCTGGCCCGCAGCATCACAGTCTGCCAAACAATAAGTCAATGCAAAATAACATGATGTTTTATGGAACTATTGTGATAACGATAAAAAGTGACGATAAGACAATATTTCTCTTTAGGTCTCACAGTAACCATAGTGACACAACCTGCTCACAGTTACACAACTGAACTGCATTCAACCAGATTGTCAAACTTATTGATTTGTATCAATACATTAAAATGATATATATATATATATATATAAAAAAAATCAATCGAAAACTAACAAAACTAACAATTCCAACAATACTGGAGGTTATAAAATAACGATAAATCACGATAAACGATACGATAACTGTTCAGACCAGAACGGAGGGCCTCAGGGATCTGGGCCGGGTCAAGCATGTTCAGAACCAACTCAGAGCAATAACACACACACACACGCGCACACACACACACACACCTGCGCGGCTCTCAGCAGCAGGATGTGCAGCAGCCCGGCGGGCCTGCAGAACCTGCATCTTTCTCTCGGTCCTACCTTCGATGGCGATGACGTGCTCCCGGATCTGGTTCTGCAGCAGCGGCTCCTCCACCCGCTCCAGCAGCTCGTAGATGGAGTAGATGTTCGGGTGCACCGACTCGAACCTCTGGATCTCGGACCGGATAGCGGCCGAGTTGGCCAGATGCAGCTGGTAGTTCATCCTGACGGGGGAGACGCGGCTCCAGGAACGACTTCAGGCTTTCTGGGAACAACTGTAACAATAATCCCGGAGAAATAATCCCGGATTCTGCTCTACATCCCGGGGAGAAGATCCGGGATTCTTCCAGCGGCTGCGGCCAGATGGCAGCTACAGTCCGGGGAAGGCTGCTTGTCCCCGGGGCTCCCCGCTTCCCTGCTCCGCTGCGGTGACAGATGTGCGGGAGGCGGCGGAGCTCCGCTGCCCCATATCCTTCCAGGCCGGGCTGGATTACCGGGCCGCTGGGAGTCCTGCAGCCGGATTAAACGGAGCTTCCAGCGGAACTTTGAGTCATAACTGACCGAAGGAGGAGGATGACAAACGGCCTGGTGGATGCTAGCTGGCTAAAGCTAACTAGCTGTAGCTCCCAGCAGCCGGGGGGAAAACTGGGAAAAGTCGCCGAATTCCAGGGGTGAGAGTCGGCCTCACATCAGGCCAGAATGCGGGGTTTAACCGCAGACAACATGCGGGAAAATAGCCGCGGGTCGGGGCTCGGTAATCAGTCTGCGGGGCTAGTTTGGATCCCTGCTCCTTGTTTTGTCTCCCTGCTGGTAAAAAGATCCGGATAACCTCCCCGATTCGGCTGGAAACTCAGCGGAGGGAGCCAACAGGAGGTACCGGGTGACCCAGGACGACGGAACCGGGTCAAAGCGTCAGGTATATCCCGCAACCAGAACCCAAACACCGCTCCTGTCCCGCTCCTTCTGCGCGGTGAGCTCAGTCCTGGATACACCGAAGATCCCAGCCGGGATTTCCTCCAGGACCATCAACCACACACCACCAAATAAAGACGTTCGGTTCAACCTTTCAAAATAAAACAGTTTAGTTTAACTTCCAGCTTCACTGTCTAACACGTTTATTTTAACTTGTTTATCCTCATTAATTTCCGGTAATTTCAGGGAAAATCAACTGTGTTTGTTTGTGTTTTATTAATTTAGTTTTTTTCTAATTAAATCAATACAATTAAATTTCAGTTCAGTTCCATTAAACTGGAATCAACCCAGTTTCCTGTAGCTACAAGCAGGGGTGAAAGTAGGCAGATACGGTCGGGTACTGCCCCTAAAAGATTTAGCGGGGGTACGCGGTACCTGCAAGACAGGGGAGCGGAGTCTGCTGTAAAGAATCAATGAGTCACTGTGCAGTGAGTGCATCACTAATCAACCGTGACTGATTAGTTTTTAAAGAACAATCTAAAACATGACTTAATCAGTTAGTAAATAGCTTTATTCCCGTTTCACATTGTTTCTGAACTGTTCGTGCTTTGAGCAGCGGTGCAATATGTCGATCGCGGAAGGTTTTGAGTCGATCTCGGAATTAAGTGACAAACTGAACGCCGCCAGGACGCTGAGACCAGCATGTCCTCCTCTGATTGGCTTAAAACGTTCGTAACTTTATTAAACAACAACAAACAAACAAACAAATAAATAAATAAATAAATAAATAAATAAATAAAATTAAAAAATCAACAAAACGTGTTGATTTTTCAACAAAACCCACAACAATAATAATCTCAGTGATTATTGTTTCAACAAGGTGTTGCGCATATATATATATATATATATATATATATATATATATATATATATATATATATATATATATATATATATATATATATATATATATATATATATAATTCAGTTTTTAGTTCAGCTGGCTTTCAGACAGACCAGTTTAACTCAACACAAACTGTTTAATCCCTTCAATTTAACTCAGGTTAAATTAGTAATATTTATGTTCAGCTGAAATCAACTCAGTTTGTTTGAATCAGTTTCAATTTAATCCAACTTAACTTTAACATATTTTATTTTCAGTTTATTTTGAGTCCGTTTAAAACTAAAACTCAGTCCAGTTTGTTTCCTTCGTGACTTCCATTAATGTGTTCAGTTTGTTTAATTTTGGTTTAATGAAGTCAAACTTTATATTCTGCAACCCACCTTAACTCCATATAAACTAACGTTAATATGTTAGTTACTTTATTGACGAGTTATTATTTTCAACTAACAGCTAAAGTGTAAAGCAACATCTGTTTTTACTTACATTCAGAAATTAGAAAACTAAATCTGTATTGAGCTTTTATTTTGAAGGTCAGACCAGTCGTGTTCCGGTTTTCCCGCCGTTCTGCTGAACAGCTGCATTCAGACAGATGGAGACTGCGCAAAGATGACCTCTGCCATAACAACCAGCCATTAACAACCTTTCAAAATAAAATCCCATCAGAGGAGATACAGCTTTATTTGTTAAGAGTCAGAAAAGAAAAACAAGTCCCACATCTGTGAGGCCATCCCACAGCGCCCCCTGCTGGTTCTGTCTGAACCTCTGGTCCAGCTATACTGGTCCTGGTTCAGCTCCACTGGTTCTGGTCCGGCGCTACTGGGACGAAGCAGGAACCTTGAGTCCGTCCAGCAGCAGGCTGTGGTCAATGCCGTTCTTCTTCTTGCCTCCACTTGTGGCCTTGATGCAGCAGGTGTGTTCTCCCACCGTGAAGTGGGTCTCTGTGCCGTCATCCACAAACTCTCCCTGTGGACAGGAAGACAGGAAGACAGGAGGACAAGAGGACAGGAGGACATGCAGGAGACACATGGGACAGCAGGAAAAATTCTTATTCATAATTTAATTGGACAAAAATGACATCTAAAATAGAATAGAATATACTTTGTTGATCCCCAAAGGGAAATTGCTTTAAAAAAATAAATATTTTACAAATAATTTAATAAAATAAATTATTCTAAACTTAAAATGCTTATCAAAAGTACTAATTAAAAAGTACAAGTGAAATGAAATAAGAATATTAAATATATAGGTACGGAAAAATAAAAAAGCTAAATAATAAAATAAAGAAAATTAAAATAAATTACTTAAGTTTAACTTCAGAAAATTAAAACCCACATTAAATAAATATATTAATTTAGTGATTTAATTAACTACATGTATTATATTGAAATAAAAGCCAATATTAAATAAAAAACAATATCATGACCAGCCCTGACTATCCTCTTCATCAGACTGTCCTGGGAAAACAGAGCCTCTTCAGTCAGAGGCTTCTTCAGGTTCGCTGTAACACAGACTGCTACAGCTCTTTCCTGCCAACAGTATCTACAATAACAACATTTAATTTCCCTTTGGGATCAGTAAAGTGTTTCTGAATTTTAATTAAATAACTAAATAAACACTTTAAATTATTTTTAAAAAGTCACATTAGATAAAAAAGTAAAGGATTAATTCAGTGGACGTTTCTGCTGTTGGCCTCATGGTGGCACTTTGGTTCTGGTGGGATTTCTCACCGTTGTCTCCACTTTCTGCCCGTTGCACCAAACATCCATGGTGTCCTTCTCTGTTGGACACAACACAGTCAATCAGGACCGGTCAGTGTTCAGATTGACCTCTGACCCCTCTGTGCACTCACCCAGGACGACCCTGCAGTCTGCTCCGTCCACCTGGACCACCCAAGTCTTGGTGGTCTTGGCTCTGTGGTCGATGAACTTCTGCAGGCTCTTCCCGCCGACGTTCAGCGAGTATTCATAGGCGAAGCCGCCGACGGCCTCGATGTTGATGGTGGCCTTGGTGTCGGCGCTGCCCAGTGAGAACGTCTCCTTCCCAACCAGCTTGAACATCCAGTCCTTCCTGATCACCTCCTGCACAGCAAACCGCCCCATTCATTCACTCACCACAACCAAGGAAACGCTGCAGAAAACCTGACTGACTACAGGCTGCTTAAAGGGATGGTACAATTAAAGGGATAGTACGGAAACCGTAGCCAAGACAAACGCAGACCAGCCAGCCGAAGTGTCCGCTGTCCCACACCAGGACGAACGCCTCACTGCTCCTCTTAACCTGAGGTTCACCAACCAGTTTGAGTCTCCACTCCAACATCCTGGACTGAACTTGCCTGAGGATCCTCCATAGATCCTCACAGACATGGACAACCACCCTGACCTGCCACGCCAGAGGACCAGTCCTCCATTCAGGAGACACGTCAACCAAACAGTCCAATAATGTCCAGAACCTTTAGCTCCATGGATCCTACCTCAGTCCCCCTGCTAGCAGGTTTTACTGTAGCTCTGTCTCCTAAACATAGAACTAGGTCAAACAGATCCTCAAAGTGCTCCTTCAACCATCCAACATTACCCTGAGACCAGGTCTTCAGTGTTCCCCGTTTCACCTGTTGGGTTTTCCAGGACTTCCACGGCTCCAGTACTTGTTTACTGGTTTCCTACTCCAAACAAACCCTAAAAGCCTCGTTCTTCAGGTTACAGCTTCTATCACCGCTGGTCTCTACTGGACCTTCAGTCTGCCACCATGACATCTGGAAGCAACATCTACACAGGAAGCCCAATCAGAAGACGAGGGAAGTTCTCCTGGAGGTTATCTCAACATGAACTGATTCAGAAACTTGAACCAGAACCTCAGTGGTTGGTAATAACCGAATCCTGTTGGGTTTTCAGTAGATGGACGGATGTTTCCATCATTAAACCTTCACCAGAACCTCATTGAACACCTAGAAACCCAGTTCTGATGGGTTTATTGCTTCTGCTTCAGTTTGGACTCATTGACCAAACTAGGCAGTTTTAAAACCCAGGAACTGACCTTACCCTGACGTCACGCTGAGCCCTATCTGGTCCCAGTTCTGGTGCTGTCCGTCCTATCAGTGAAATCAGAATCAGCTCTCAGACCTCACCGTCCCGTTGACATAGACGACCCGTTTCCCCGTGGTGGTGCCGTGAGCGAACTCGACCCGGTAGACGCCGTCGCTCAGAGCCACGTCCCACACGGCCACCGCGTCTCCACACGGCATCCTGGACTCCTGGGCCGAGCCCGGACCGGTTCTGAGGAGCTGCGAGGCGCAGGAAGCGGGTCCTGCCGCCTCAGCAGGAGTGTGATTACAGTAAGAGGCTTAGAGGAGGACGACCTGGGGATGTGTGTCACCGTCAACGGGACGGTTCTCCTCCGAACCGCCGGCTTTCAGCCTCATTAGGCGGCCTGGGCCTGAAGCCGGACCCGAAACCAGCAGCGAAACTGGAGCAGCTGCCATAAAACTGGAGCCGAGAGCATTTCTACCCCATTCAGCCGTTAACACCGAGCACACACCGCCACCTGGTGGCCAGAACCAGACCTGCTGCTGTTCCTCAGCCAGTCATTTAAACTGCTTCACCTTTATAAAAGATTTAAAACCAAATGCTGTAAATTTTATTAATTCAACTCCAGACCAAAAATCTTCAACATGATCTTCAAGTTTGGACACTTTTTTTAAGGCTAATAATTTATCTTGTCTTTTATTTTACATAATTTAATATATGTATTAAATGGTTTTTATCATTTAATCTACATAAAATCTATTTTTATATTTCAAATTTCTTTATTCTTTAGATTAAATATATACATCTTCTCTTGCTGAATATTAACATTTATTTTTAGTATTTTACAGTAAATATTCTGGTTTTGAAGTGAAATTAAAGAGAAAAGCATTTTTCTAACAGAACTTGATTTAATCAGATATAAACAATAATGAGTGTTGGTGCAGAATAACAATAATAACAATAATAATATTCCTATTTCCCAGAGAAGCTTGAAGCTGAGTTCCCTTAGAGTCTGGTTCTGTGGCATGATTACAGAGTTTAACATGAAGCTTGATTGGAGACGGGGTCAGAGGCCACCCAAGGTGCAGACGAGTGTTTCAGAGCCTCAGGAATGTGAGCAGAGATAAATAAGAGCCGAGCGCTGCGGTCTGAGCGCGCTCAGTTCCACCTAGAGAACGCAGCAGCGCCGCTTCTTCCTGCCGCCGCTCGGCCCGTTCTCTTTGCTCTCCGCCATTTTCTTCTTACGGACTTCTCTCATGAGGTCGAAGAACACCTGCAGGGGGAGGACAAAGGTCAGGCAGGTGGAGGGACAAAGGTCAGAGGTCGTCCTCCACCACAGCGCTCACCTTGTCCACGTTGGCTCTGGTCTTGGCCGACGTCTCGACGTACGGGACGCCCCAGCTGGACGCCTTGGACGTGGCGTCGTCCACGCTTACCTGGCGCCGGTCCTCCAGGTCCGACTTGTTCCCGACCACCAGCAGCGGGATCGCCTCCTCCTCCTTCACCCGGACGATCTGCTCCCTGCAACCAGCATGGACACACGGTCTAGTTAAAGCCCGCAAACAGGGAGAAGAAACTGGTTTCTGTCAGAGCACAGCGCTGCTTCTGATTGGCTACCAGTTAAATTTATTAATCTTTTTTGATCGTTAATCTGGAAATGAAACAGTTTGACCAGAAAAAGACTGGAGCAGCTGAAAGAGCTGAGGAGATCAATATGAAATGTTAGATATTTTATCATCAAAAGGAGGATTATGGTGTAAATTTGTGCCTGTTAATAGGTTTAAAATCAGATTTTGAAGTCATGATGACGATGCATAATGAGGAAGTTATGAACCAAACAGAACAGCCGCCGTCGGTTTTTAACGGTTAGCTGATTAAATCATTAACAGTAAATCAGCTGGAGGGAGCGCTAGCCAAACGTTAGCGATGACTAAAGCGGCTGGAGGCAGTCTGAAGGGGAAACGTATGGAGGACACATAAACGTATGGAGGACACATCCTGCCAAAACTAACAATAAAAATAGAAATGAATAAATGGCTTCATAAATAATAAAATCAAATAATTAAAACTTTTCAAATTTCATTAATTATCCATTGTGAATTAATTATTTTCAACAGTTTTATCACATTATCATCACGTGGCTTCATTAGATTTCTTTACATTTAATATTGATTTCATATTCTCCATGTAGTCATTATGTTAATCACACTGAACTTTGTCCATACATATTTCTTTGTTTCCTCATTTCTTTCTCCTGACTTGTTGCAGGAGGTAAAGTTGGCAGGACTTCAGAGTCAGCTTCTCTCCTATTGGTCAACATTAAGCTCCGAGTTGGGGAAGGCTTTATATTTTGGTTTTTAGATTAAGTATTTGCCACGTGAATAACTTTATCCAGTCATTTATTGTTTTGATTTTTACTGAGAATCTCGGCAGAATGAGTGTTCCGTAGAACCAGTAGAGAGAAGACAGACATGGCAACCTGTCAGAGAGTTACAGGTTGTTCCTTCCTGGATATGAATACTGGACTTTCGGGTTCAGTTTAAGGCCGATGTGATTAAAGTTTTATCGTAAATTCATATCAAACTCAGTTAGCCGGAAATTTGCCATTTCATCTTTAGACAAAACAAACAATTAGAATCGATCTGTCGGGGTTAAACGGAGCCAAGTGAGACGCTCCTATCCGCTTTGGCTCTGGTACCAGACCCATACCCCTGCGTTACCACAGTGACGGGTCAGACCTGAACTCGGTTATGGCGGTGAAGGACTCCTGCTCAGTGATGGAGAAGACGAGCAGGAAGCCCTCGCCGCAGCGGAAGTAGTTGTCCCTGATGGCGGCGTAGTCCTCCTGCCCCGCCGTGTCCAGGATGTCGATCTGAACCTCTTCCCCGTCCAGAACCACCTTCTTCCTGTAGCTGTCCGCCTTGGTGGGCTCATAGTCCTCCACGAACTGCGACAGAGCGGACAGTTGGCTCACAGAAGCCAGAGGCATTATGGGAAATGTAGTGAGAGGCTCACCTCGTCGTACATGAACTGCAGTGTGAGTGCCGACTTCCCCACACCACCGCTGCCCACCATGATGACCTTGTGGAGGGTCAGCGAGTTCTGGCCCTTGTTCTTACCGGAGGACATGGTTCCGGTCCGGTCGGTCCAGTTGGGACGGAATCAGAACCGGTCCTGACACCAAACCAGGACTCAGCTTCTCTGGAAGCTGATTGGCTCAAACCAAACGACACTTCCTGCACAGAAACACAAGCAGTCAGGCACCAACACCACCGGGCCGGGTCGAGGACGTTCTACTGGAACCTGGAACAGGAAGAGGTCCATCAAAACCTCCCAGGTCAAAGTTCACCGGGTACTGCCTCCAGTTAGAGCGCTGGGCGCCAAGTTTCTCTGTTCTGGTGTCATCAAAACCAGTTCCACTAGTTCTGGAGCTGTGGTTCTGATACAGACTGATTCTGAAAAATCAGCCCCACTTTACTTTCCCCCCCGGTGTCCTGACAGAACCTGGCCAACAGTTACCTGCTCCTGGCTGGACTTCCTGCAGTAGAAACGTGCTTCCCAGTCCCAGTCGAGGTTCTGGAGCCGTGGTTCAGATCCAGTCTCAGCCCAGAGCTGCTGTGGAATGAGCCACTTGACCTTATCAGTGGTGTCAGTGAGGGGCGACCCAAACCAGCCTGACCAGAACCAGTCCAACCAGAACCGGCTCAGCTGTGACCCGGAACGTCCAGTGATCAGAATCAGGAACTGTCGGCGTCGACATTCAGCTTCCTCTGAGCCAGCAGCTGGAAACCAGTTTCTAAACATTCTGCTGCACATTCCCGCCTTCAAACGCAACGGCGCCTCTGATTGGCTCAGGCTACCAGCAGAACTCCCCTCCGGAGGCTCCTATTGGCTGCTTCCCCTGTCACTCTGAACCTTGAGTTTGCTAGCCAGTTAGGCAGCAACAGATAACGCTTCTCTGCTCAGGGTACTTGAGTTAAAATAGACCGTTAAACGGTTCTTTCTGCAGTACCGAGAGCCCAACAGTGACCGAAAGAACCCGGAGAAACTCCGGTGACTCACCCGCTGCCGTGTTTCCCCGCCGTCCTCCCAGAAATCCGTCTCAGAAAACTTTTACAAGTTGATCATCAGACTGAGCGCCCCACCTTTACCCGGACCTACACGGATCGTCTATATCCGCGAAGATGAGTCCTCGGACCAAGAACCTGTCTGAGACAGGGATTCTGACCGCCTCTGGTTACTATAGGAACAAACAAAAAGTCTAATAGACTCGAGTTAAACAAATATCATTCTTATTGTTGCTTAAACCATAAAGACACGAAAGAACGCAGAGGCAACTTAGTTACATGACTTACAACAGAATTAAAAGTGTAGTGAGACATCTTACTTTCTGTCTTTTCTCTGATAGGTACAGATAACATTAACAGGAAGTGATGTCACGGAGTTCCCTTTTGTTGAAAAGTTATTTATACCACATAAAACTACGAAAAAAATCATAATAAAATACAATAAACATACGAAAAGTAAATTCAAATGCAATAAAGTAAAGCAAAAATGTATTTAATAAAAACGTATTA